ATGTTGGATACAAAGACAACTCTTGGAATCGATCCTAACTTTCTACCAACTCGCGAACTTTGTGCATTGTTGTTTTTGTCCTGATCCTTCGGTTACTTGTGCTGTCACTCGTTTGAAACCTTCATGCATTATTGCAGTTCCAGTGCCGTTTGATATAGACCCATTATCTTTAGTGTCTGCCGGTGGCCGAAATGCGTACGCACCTCTCATGTATATCATAGTTCACAAGTTCGATTCCGCTTAGATGCTGGTGATCTCGCGGAATATATAGCCTGCACGTGACTAGTTGTGGTTGTGTGACAGCTAGGCCGGCGTACTACTGTTGCCTTATCTCAACGCCATCAGTCAGGTCAGTTGATTTGGTTTTATTTGCGACACTCAGTTCAAATACTAATCAACGACTTGCACAGTTTCTGGGAATTCCTGAACCTCTGCATGACCACTTATTTCCGCTTTGATGGACAAGTATACCAGCAAATGAAAGGAACACCCATGGGATTCTTAATTTCGAGGCTCATTGCAGTAGCCGTTGTGCATAAATTGGAGCGCATCGCATTGCCATCTATCAGCTTGAAACTCTGGATACAATACGTGCACGACACATTTTTCATCGTAAAACGGAACAGAGTACAGGATACGCACGAGTTGCTCAACAGCAAATTCGAGGATATCAAATTTACGATTGAATTAGAGGAGGATAACTAGTTGTCATTTTTGAATGTACTGGTCACTAGGAATACCGACGGATCTCTGCAAACGTACGTATATTGGAAGGCAACGCATAGGGACCAGATATTAAACTACCACAGCAACCACCCGATGCATCACAAAAAGAGCTGCATTCAAACCCTATTCGAAAGAGCACAGCCGAATCGCGGAAACAGGAAGAAAGGCACCTATATAGTGTTTGGAAACAACGGTTATCCGAGAAATTTCATCAGAAGAAGCCTAAAGAAACGAACGTCTCACCCACAGCAGCAGCAGCAGTCACCTGAGTAAGCAAACAAACGAATAGTGCTCTCCTACATCAAGAACGTCTCCAAACTAACAGGAAGATTGCTGCAGTCACATGGGATCTCTGTGGCTCATAAACCAAGTGTCACCTTAAGGAAATTAATCTCAAGACCCAAAGAAAAAGTCAATCAAGCCGACCAATGCAATGTCATCTATCAGCTAAAATGCAGCGACTGCGATAAAAACTACGTGGGACAAACTGGAAGAAAGCTTTGTACACAAATCACCGAATACATGCGGTCGTCAAAAGACATGATCTGCATTCATTGGTTTCTGCGCATGAAGATCAAGAAGGCCACCATTTCGATCTGGAGCCACGGGGAGTGTGAACTCTACCAGGGACTCATAGGTTGCAGCCGCAGTAGATTCGGCTGTCCCATCCTTGTTAATGATGCAAGTTGTCAAGCGTGGCTGAATTTGATCGATTACACGTTTCGGGTGGTGTCTGATTTTTGTGGTCCTGAGTACCGTTTGTCTCTCAGAGCTACAGGCTGTTTTTGCCTGGCGTTGTTCCAAAATTGAAGAAGATAACGGCAATGCGGACCTTGTCAATTGTGGTTCGAGCGAAGCAAATTCTGCACCATTGCTTCGCTTATAAGCCACTGTGTTTTTCTGGTGCATGCTTACTTCCAGTGATATAATCTTAGCGTATGTTCCTTTTTCAATTTCTGATAATCGGTCGCACTTTTGACCTAGGGAAAGTATACATTTGACTAGCGGGATGGTCGAACATGCAGTACAAAGCCAGAGATCGACTTGGGAGCTGTTTTGATTTCTCACGTGTTGTTGGGAAGCGTTTGCACACTTTGGATAGTACCATTTGAAACAGTGTGAGCAGGGTAAACCAAATTTGGCTAATCGGTTACATTCTACAGACCCACATTTAGCCCTCGACTGGCGCCCTTTTGGATTCTCATTTACTTGCTTTCTGCTACTGGGCATATTGTTGCTACCTTTCACTATGAGGTAGTTGACATTTCGTACTTTTTCGGATGGTCCGTTGCGCACACCAGTCAGACGGATGGATGCGGCCACTTCGCTTCTTGGTCACACACACTGCCCTGTGGAGTGAGAGGAAACACTATAAAACCGACGCGCCCGGACTTGAAACGGCCACACTGCACGCTGATTTCAGTTCAGAAGTAGGTCCAAACGCCACACAGTCAGATGATTGCCGTTGTGAGTTGTAATCATGTTTACTGGCCAGAGTACTGTTCACGACAGGACGGCGCAGTTGACGTAACTGCACGGTATATCGATCGCCATCGACCAATGAAATTGTCCAACCTGTGCGGTCGGTAAAACGATTTAGGTGATAAAACAATGGAATAATTCCTACGCTTGGCGATCCACTGAATAGAACTGGTAATTCCGTGTCGAATGAGTGGAACTTGGACGATGTGTGATGAAATGCGTAGGGAAAGCTTCACTACAAGCCGGATCACAGGATGCTTGAAAAAGATTTGCACAGTTTTCATACAAACTGATAAATATCCTCCCAAGTTTTTTTCCGGTGTCAACAAGAGCACACAAAAGGGAAATAAATGGCATATAATAATCCACAGTCCACTAAGATTGTACGTAGAGAACGTACAAATTGTCGGAGCTTCAGTTTAGTGACCACCGGTCAATGACCTTGGCGGATCACCGTATCGTCGGCGATGGTAGAACTTAGCGCTGCGTAGCGCTGTGATGATATGTTCTTCGGTTTGATTGCACTCAGTCAAGAGGAACACCGCACAACTTTAACACGGTTATCCAATCGATACCAAGCATGTTTAATCGTGGGTCGTCAAAAGCGCGACAGACGCCGATTCACTTGTTTCTGTAAACATATTCACAGTAAATTTTACCATATAGCTGCAGGACACTGTTCGATTCAGTCTTTGCGATATTTTCTGCATTGCGCAGTATCGGTCTACCGATAGCCGATCACGTCGGGTTGGAGATGCTGATAATCTCAGATGTGGTATCCAGCTGTAGGCGCACTGAGCAACCATTACTAGTCACAGTGATAAATTTACGAAGTGGAAAATTCCTTCCTGTGCACGTACATAATCAACATTAGATTCCCACTTGATTCCGTACTTTTAATATGCTTTTGATTGATCCCCACGATGAGGACGTGTGGTTGATCGGCAATGCGTTACTTTATGGCCTCTATTGTGGCAGTCGGCTCACTGGTGATGGATGAACGGACAGTTTCTGGTACAGTGTCACTCATCACAATTCCGACAAACACGTGGTGATTTCTGTCGTGCAGTGTTATAGGCATCCGTCGGTGTTCGTATAGCAATTATATCAACCATCCCGATCTCCGACAGCTCTCAGACTGTAACATTTGTGAAGCAGTTTTAATTTGATCAGACGCTGCCACACAGTGGTAACGTCCTGAATGGTGAACTCTGGAGACGAGTTCAGTTTGGATCACATATTTGTTCTGATTTCTGTGTCATTTGCAGAGGTTAAGCCGGCTACAAAAATGAGTGACTTGAACTGATCGTTTGTAATTCGTTTGAGGCTGGAAAGCTCACATGAATGAATTACTCGACCCGCATATGAAACACTCTTCGGATTGATTTTTAACCAGCTTCAAACACTGATAACTGATGTTGAAAATTGAGGACCTTTCACCAAAGATGGAATTGAGAACATCTCTACACTCTTGGAAATTGCAGTCGCGGGAGTGTTTCGGTAGAATGAAATTACATTACTGGTTGTGTTCATTTACGCCTAGCTTCCATAGTCACTACCGTACTTTAGCTGCATAATCAAACGTGATTGCGTCAACTAGAAAGATGTCTTCACAGCGCCTGTACCAGGTTGCGATTGTGATGCCGTCCTCTGCATCATATTTTAAACCTTGCGTTTCGTTTGCCAACGCTCCAGCTGAAGTGGACTCAGTTGTTATGCTGATGGGTGTTAGGTTTAGGGATGACCATTTTGTTGTGAGTGCTTGGAACAACAATGTCTGTCTCTGTTCTTGTTGAAACACAATCTGCTGGACGTAATCTTGATGCTGTCGTGGTACAATCCAAGATGCTATGGGGACCACCTGTCTATGGTGACTAGCCAGAGATATCCCCCAAAGTTTTCTGTGAGTTTTCTATGTGAGTATGTCCATATGCATGAATCTGTCTATGCCGAATACATTTTGTCGGTTCCTTAAGTGATCGCCTTAGACAGATTCGGCAGCAATTGGCTTGCTTGTGCATGATCAGCCATCTCAGTCAGTAGTGTTACAATCGCAGTTGATTGGGCCTAGAGTCATCAGAACAAAAAGCTTCACCGTACCGGACAGTGTATAGACTGTGGTGGTGAGATGCCACACTGAGTATGCGGCTTGTTTATCGAACGGTCATGATTAACGATTTGGTACAAAAAGTCTGGAAGTCGGTCGATGGCTGCAGAGGCGAATTGAAGGATAGTAGGCAATCAAATTACATCGACATGAACGAAGCTCGAACGCTGGTCGAGAATGTAATAGCAAGGAGGTGTGTTCTACATCAGTGAGTGGTTCTAATTGACTCAGAATATAAAATGAGCTTGTGTTCTATAAATAATGGATTTCTGATCGAGGCCCAGACCTTGATTTTTTTATTTGCAGAGGGCCACATGACAATAACCAGATGTCAAGTCACATGAAACAGGCAAGATAGCCGACAATATAGGGTAAGGTGAGAGGGTGTGGCCGATAGGCCATCTCGCACGGTCGGCGGCCTCATGCATATGAACCACAGTAGAGCAGTGGGTGAAGTTTACGATCAGAGGTGTGGGACCATAACGTACATTTAAGGCAACTGATCATCTGGCGCAACAACTATAATGCTAATTAGAATTCTGTAAGTTAACTGCTTGCTGTTTCTGCCTTTTTGTTTCATAATGTTGATTACATTGTGAGATCAGTTCCTAAATGCGCGAAACAATATCGTTGTGAGCTGCTATCGTAACGTACATTTTGCGCAATTTCTGTGTCCCCTTTTCAGTCTGGAATTCAGTCAATCTGTACTTCGTGCAGAATCTGGTCATGGTGATCTGAACATTTCCAGACAGACCCTTTGCCAAATGCTCGGTATTCGACCTACGGTGAAGGTGAAACCTTTGGATAGCGACGGCGTGCGGCAAAGCCGACTGGACAGATCGGCGGCCCCCCAAGTCAACAGTCCCGTCCCGATTTTATACTACCTCGTTGATCGGTTTAAACGCGGTTATGTCGCGGACTCCTACAAACGCGAACCACCTAGGGATTTCGGAAACGCACTCTTCACGAGTGCCATGGGATCAGCCAAGAAATATGCGAACAAAGTCTGCTAACTTTGAGCATGCCAACCGAGCATTGTCTTCGTCAAGTGACTCGCAAAGCATCTGTCCTAGTGCAGCCGACGATCTCGCTAATTTTTAATGATCAAAATCGTCAGCCATATCGCTGAGTATTCCAAAGGTGGACATCTGGTACGATCTTCCAGTTAACATTATCAATCACTACCGCGTCAAACCAGTCAACAAGTTCCTTATTGCTATCTACCCGCGGAAATTCATCCTCCCACCTCTACTACAACGGTTATCCTATTGTCTACGCATTTTTACTTCATTTTGTTTCACCTGTGTTGTTTTTGCCCGCATTGGCCTACCGGTCCCAAACAGGTATCGTTAACCGCAGATGACACAAATTTCGACACAATCGATCAGGAGTGCGGTTTACAGTTTGACGCAATACTAGTTCAGAAT